AACCCAGACGGGGGGGGGGGGGGGGGGGTAGGGGGGGTTCCATCATTTGTTATGCATTACCTGTATAGGGGGGCTTGCTGATCATTGTAGTTCCTCCCGTTCTAGGCAGCCGGCAGGTTCACTATGCCTGATTTACAGTACAAAAAAACTCCTCTAATTAGCATTAATGAATTCAGTTTCTCGCAGCATTCCACATTCTGATGAGCATAATTGCAATCTGTTCTTATTATCGACTGCTAAATTCTGCTTGACTGCAGATCTCGACGGAGGGCCTTGTTAATTCCACCGAGTGACATTTAAACAAAGAAGTAGTTTTAAATAATTGATGTCTTTGTTTATAAAGTTTATCCTGGGTAACGATGTCACGGGACACATTGTTAATCGCCACCTGAAATATGAAGTTACGGCGTTCAGGTTAGGGAACTCTGCTCTAATTACCGTACACAGCAGGATATTGCTTTAATATGGAGGCAGCTTGGATTTCTAAAATAGGAACAACTAATGGTTTTGTCTGATTTCCCCTACAATGTCGGGGCACTGACACCCTTACTAACTATGTGTCCATGCACATGATAAGGGATGAGCGGGCTGATTCTTGGACAAAACTCAGTCCCAGGCTAAACATTTTTAAAACAGTTCTCCAGATACAGCAAGCTCTGGCTGCTGTACTTTTTAAAGTGGAACCTCATTCAAAAAATGTAGTCCCCACTGGTTCGTCCCCTTCCCCCCCCACAAGCCTGTAACTGAGCTACAGATTTTTTTTTGGGGGGGGGGGGCAGTGAGTATCAGAACCCGCTCCCATTTCCACAGTCCTCACCTATGTGAGGATGGTGTCCCTTGACCAATCCCCTCCCGCAGACTCCTGGGGGCACGTCACATGTCCCAGGATGCTGCAGGACCATTCACTAATTGCCATTCAAGCTTTCGCATGCGTAGTATGGAGCCAGCTGTGGTTCCTCGAAAGGCCACAGACCATTCCCATATCCAAGATGGCTGAGCCAGGGATCCTTAGCGGTAAGAAGAACCGGCTGCAGTAACTGTTTTTTTTAACCACTTTCCGCCTGTAGGATGTCAAATGATGTTCTTGGGTTGAAGTGGTTATAGCACCTGCAGGCACCATCCAGGTATCAAACATTTCAGTGGGCAATTCTTTCTTCAGTAGAACTGATTGCAGTGGCTGAAAAGCCATGCGATTACTACTGCAGATGGTGGAATGGGGTTCACCCCCCTTCTGCCACTTCCTTTCCCGGGTTCTCTCATCCGATCGCGGAACACTTTGACCCGTGCTGACAGCTGCACTACACAGAGAGAAAGAGAGAAAACTGACGTTGTTCTTCCCTCTCTGTGACCCCAGAAACCGGAAGCAACAAAGATGTAGTCACTTCCGGTTTCAGCTCTTTATTCACTTTGCTGTTATCGGCCAGAAAAGCAGCCGATCAGACCGATCAGTGTTGGCATTGGAGGCAAGGAAAGAGATTTGGGGTCTAATAGATCTCTCCATAGAGAGGACCTTTCATAGCCCATGCTTTCACAAGGGATATATATGTAAAGCGCTGCATAAATTGATGACGCTATATAAGTACCTGTAATAGTAATGTTAATGTTAAAAATCTTCAAATAAAATAAATAATAACAATAATAAAAAAATTTAACGCACCCCTGCCCCTTGTGCTTACGCGCAAATGTGAACACGTATGTAAGTCCCGCACACAAAAGTAAACAGTGATTGCATCACACTTATTGAGGTATCGTGAACATCTGAGTGAGAGCAATAGTTATAGCTCCAGACCTTCTGTGTAACTGTAAACTGGTAACCTGTGAAGGCTTTTACCGTGTCGCCTACGCAGATTTTTTGGTACTGTAGATTGGTGCCGTTGCACGGGCATAAACCGTTTTAAAGCATGACATGTTAGGCGTCTATTTACTTGGTGGAACATTATCTTTTATATTTTAACAAAAAAAAATTAGGAATTATATAGTACTTGTGTGAAATAAAATTCATTAAATTGTATTTTTTCCCAGAAAATTGCATTTGAAAAACTGCTGAAGAAATGCCATGTGATGTAAAACTTTTTAACATCCACTATTTTATTCTGTAGGGCCTCTGCTAAAAACATATAATGTCTTGAGGGTTCTAAGTAATTTTCTAGCAAAAAACCCCCCTGATTTTTACATGTATGAGAGAAATGTCAGAATTGGCCCAGTAGGGAAGTGGTGAAAAGTCAGCAGCTACAGTATTTGTAGTTGTCGATTAAAAAAAAAAAAATGAAGTTCCTCTTTAAAGCGGAGTTACGACAGTTTGATAATTTTTTTTTCTTCTAAAGGTACAGTGGGGATCGAAAGTTTGGGCACCCCAGCTAAAAATTTGTATTAATGTGCATAAAGAAGCCAAGGAAAGATGGAAAAATCTCCAAAAGGCATCAAATTACAGATTAGACATTCTTATAATATGTCAACAAAAGTTAGATTTTATTTCCATCATTTACACTTTCAAAATAACAGAAAACAAAAAAATGGCGTCTGCAAAAGTTTGGGCACCCTGCAGAATTTATAGCATGCACTGCCCCCTTTGCAAAGCTGAGACCTGCCAGTGTCATGGATTGTTCTCAATCATCGTCTGGGAAGACCAGGTGATGTCAGTCTCAAAGGTTTTAAATGTCCAGACTCATCTGACCTTGCCCCAACAATCAGCACCATGGGTTCTTCTAAGCAGTTGTCTAGAAAACTGAAACTGAAAATAGTTGACGCTCACAAAGCTGGAGAAGGCTATAAGAAGATAGCAAAGCGTTTTCAGATGTCAATATCCTCTGTTCGGAATGTAATTAAGAAATGGCAGTCATCAGGAACAGTGGGAGTTAAAGCAAGATCTGGAAGACCAAGAAAAATATCAGACAGAACAGCTCACAGGATTGTGAAAAAAACAATTCAAAACCCACGTTTGACTGCACGATCCCTCCAGAAAGATCTGGCAGACACTGGAGTTGTGGTACACTATTCCACTATAAAGAGATACTTGTACAAATATGGTCTTCATGGAAGAGTCATCAGAAGAAAACCTCTTCTACGTCCTCACCACAAAAATCATCGTTTGAACTTTCTAAATGAACATATAGACAAGCCTGATGCATTTTGGAAACAAGTTCTGTGGACCGATGAGGCTAAAATTGAACTTTTTAGCCGGAATGAGCAAAGGTACGTTTGGAAAAGAAGGGGCACAGAATTTAATGAAAAGAGCCTCTGTCCAACTGTTAAGCATGGGGTTGGATCAATCATGCTTTGGGGTTGTGTTGCAGCCAGTGGCACAGGGAACATCTCACGAGTAGAAGGAAAAATGGATTCAATAAAATTTCAGCAAATTTTGGATGGTAACTTGATGCCATCTGTGAAAAAGCTGAAGTTAAAGAGAGGATGGCTTCTACAAATGGATAATGATCCTAAACACACCTCGAAATCCACGGGAGATTACATCAAGAGGCGTAAACTGAAGGTTTTGCCATGGCCTTCACAATCTCCTGACCTCAACATAATTGAAAATCTATGGATAGACCTTAAAAGAGCAGTGCGTGACAGACAGCCCAGAAATCTCAAAGAACTGGAAGACTTTTGTAAGGAAGAATGGGCAAAGATACCTCAAACAAGAATTGAAAGACTCTTGGCTGGCTACAAAAAGCGTTTACAAGCTGTGATACTTGCCAAAGGGGGCAGTACAAGATATTAACTCTGCAGGGTGCCCAAACTTTTGCAGACGCCATTTTTTTGTTTTCTATTATTTTAAAAGTGTAAATGATGGAAATAAAATCTAACTTTTGTTGACATATTATAAGAATGTCTAATCTGTAATTTGATGCCTTTTGGAGATTTTTCCATCTTTCCTTGGCTTCTTTATGCACATTAATACAAATGTTTAGCTGGGGTGCTTAAACTTTCGATCCCCACTGTACCCACGTGAGAGTGGCAGCTTATGCAATGCAAGTTGAGATCACCTGTACTTGTAATCCTTTGCTTTCCTTATAAAAAAATACAATTACTTACTGCACCCTCATATTGTGAACGCTGTCATCTTAAGTGTGGGCATCTGAAGCTTGCTCAGACATTCTTCTGGGAAATTGTGCAGCTGCCTTCCCACCATTCACTTCTCATTCTTGCGCCTGTGCAGTGTGAAGAAGGCGCGATCTCATACCTGTGCAGTGAAAAGAAATCCCAGAGATCGCGTCCCTTCCGGTCTCATAATAAGGCAAACTTTTGGTATTAGGCATTCCCTAGGACTGCTGGGATAGATGACGCGATATCCCAGAAGCCCTAGGGAATGCCTGATGATGTAATCACCTAGGCGGCCGGGACCGGAAATGGAGACAAATTATCAATAAAAGATATTTAGGAAAAAAAATATACATCTATATATATACATATATATATATTGCCAAAATGGACTGTGAAAAGGGAGACCATTGTCTTTCAGGGGAAAAAAAAAAAGGCTGGAAAGAAAAAAGGCTTTAATCAGAAGCTTCCTCCTGCATTACCTCTTCTTGGCAACAAGATGTTCTCAGTATTCCAGTTTGATTGATGGACAGTGACTGAAAACTTTACTGTGAGTGCAGGGTGTCATGGCCCCGCCTCCTGAAGCAGCATTTTTACGCCACTGATACAGAAAGCGGAGTCGTCATGTCTCTACATTAGGATCTCCCAACCCAGGTGTGAAGATGAAGACCTGTAATGCCACGTAACTGGCCTGAACTTTGGAAAAGGTAAGTATAAGAAGAAAAAAAAAATACAGTCAATAAGGGCCACAAAGGTAGGAGAACGTTTGAGTAACAGGGACTAGGGCAAAGCCCGGAGTTTGGCTTTAACCTCTTCTAGGCAAAATTGGTTTTAAAAGAATCTTTTCTTACACCTTACAGAACTAAAATAAAAGTTTTGGCTATAGATGTACGTTAATGTTTCTTATTTTAGCCTTGGTTGTCCTTTAAGTGTCAGTTTGCTGTTAATTTTTTTTGTTGCAGAACTATTAATGGACCATCCAGATGGCCATTTGGCACCAGAAGACTCTCCGCCCCCTCCTTGCCCTGACTGTGGTCGGACATTCCAAACCCTTCGGGCCCACAACCTGCATCGGCGTAACCACTCTGCTGATCTCTCCTACACTTGCAAAGACTGCGACACAGCCCGTGCTGGCGCTACAGAAGGCAGCGAAAAGCCCTATGCCTGCTCTCATTGTGGACGTCGTTTCTGCTGGTTACTAGCCCTGCACAGCCACCACGAACAGCAACACACAGGACAGCGTGGCTACCAATGTTCGCAGTGTGGCAAACAGCTGCCCAGCCAGCCAGCATTCCGTAGACACCAGCAATCTCACCGCAAAGACAGGACATGCATCTTCTGTGGCAAAGCTTTCAACTGCTCGGCAAAACTAACACGGCATATGCGTATTCACACGGGGGAGCGACCCTATCAGTGTCCAGATTGCCCTCAGGCATTTACGCAGCTTGAGACCCTTCGTGTCCACCAGTGGACTCACGAGGATCCCAAACCCTACCAGTGCAAGGACTGCGGGCGAAGGTTTCGGGCCCAATGCACTTTTGAGAAACACAGGAAGTTGCACATTTCACGGAAACCGCACACTTGTCCTGTGTGCTGCAAAACCTTTTTCTTCTCTTCTCGCTATAAGCGACACCTGCGTGTTCATACAGGTGAAAAACCCTTTCAGTGCCAGCAATGTGGAAAGCGCTTTAACCAACGGTCTAATTATCAGCGACACTGGGCTATTCATGTAGGCAAGAGGCCTTTTCCTTGTGACTTGTGCGAAAAGAGTTTCAGCCAGGCCTCAAATTACCGGCGGCATCTGAGAACTCACCGCAAGGAGGCAGATAGGTGGGAGGAAAAGGGGGACTTTAAATGTATCGAGTGTGGGGTTCACTTCCAGCATGAAGGTGGGCTGCATGAGCACTACATACAACATGCCAGAGGGGAGGTGTGACCAGTGCAATGAATCATTGTTCTGCCTGCATCCTGTACACCCTGTTTAATGTTCTGCACCACCCAGAAGGATATTTCAGTTATAGTGTCACAGACCTCAAAAGACCTACAGGATCACAAGGGGCCAAATAACAGACAGATGTAAGGGCATTATAAGTCCTCAGACAGATGGAGAGAGCTGCCACAATTAAGCCGGTCCTAAACAGATTTTAGGTTCCAGACAGGTAAGAAGGTCTAGGTGCTTGCAAACCACCCATATTTATCGTCATAGGTCTGAGTAGTGGCCACCCATCCATATTCAGGATGGAAAGTCTGAGTGGTTGCCAACTACTCATATTCAGGGAGGAAGGTCTGGGTGGTTTCCAACCATTCATATTCATGATGGAAGGTTTGAGTGGTTGCCAATCACTTATATTCAAGGTGGAAGATCTGGGTGGTTGCCAACCACACATTCAGGGTGGAGGGTCTGGGTGTTTGTCAACCACCCAACCACCCATATTCTGGGTGGAGGGTTGGGGTGGTACCAACCCACACATATTCGGGGGAGCGAAGGGAGTTCTGGGTCGCAACCACCCAAACATATTCAGGATGGAAAGTCTGGGTGGTTGCCAACCACCCATTTTCATGGTGGTATCTGTCAACCGCCCATATTCAGGGTGAACCATCTGGATAACTGCCAACCACCCATGATTAGAATGGAAGGTGGTTTCCAAACAGTTTTATTCTTAATAGAAGGATTCACTGATTGCCAATCACCCACGATTGCCTATATCATTCAGGAAATGGTAAGAATGATTTTCAAGATCCACATATATGCAACAGTGCTGCTTTTAAACAACTACATCACCCATGCTAACTGTTCACTCTTAAGACAGATTCAGGTAGGCCTCAAAGGTTAGGGAAGCCTACAAACATGGTGGCCGGCTGTATGAACAAGCAAGTTGTGGCAAAGAAGGTCTAAGCCAGCCTTTCAGATAGTCCGTACATGATCACTTTAAACTATGTCTAGGCACAAGATCAACACCCGTCAAACAGATGTCTCTGTTAAGGACCTGACTGGACAAGGAACCACCTGGTACCATATCTTATCTCTTTGGGAGTAGTGATTTCTGCACTGAAGTGTACATCTGTTCCCGCATGCACCATGGAGGCTTACCATTTATGTTGAATTCTTTGTAAATTAAATAAAAGGGAACACAAAGCCGCCTAATAACCAAGGCAGTTTGGTGAAGCTGGGAACTTGAGTTTAGAGATCTCTCGGGAGAGAATGGAAACTAATGAGATACATGAAGGGATAATTCAGTTATAGATGTAGAAGAGTTACTTACAGCTCTTCTATCTATTGGAATCTAGCAGTCCCTGCCCACCCTCACTTGTGACCAAAGTTCCTAGTTCCTTCCTGTTCCACCTTTAAGTTCTTGGCATTCCTGTCCATCTTGGGTTGTTCCCATTCTTCCTGGTCCTTCTTATTTAAGTGTCCTTTTATCATGGAGCGGTAAATGACCGCTGCTCAGTTCTCCAGCATTCTCAGAGAAGACAGTTCTCCTCTGAATGCCTTTTTATGAAGCGGTGTAGATCAGTTCTCCGAATGAAGGGAGAAGCGATCTACAAATGTTTTCAAGGCTGGAAAACGGCTGCTTTTACTATAATCTTGTGAGATTGCAGTAAGAGATCAGTCAAACACCATTTACTAAGCAGCGGTAAATTATTGCTGCTTCGTTTGCAGTTCCTCCAATTCTCCAGCTCTGAACTGGAGAATCTGGAGGGAGAACACAGAACATCAGTGAAGGGCTGAGATTACTCCTTCATATACAGGCCATCTGTGTGCTGAGATGATCAGTGGAGAACATGTTCTTCACTGATCATCTCTGTTTCCTAAACCACTAATGATCGGAGATCAGCAATGATCTTCAGGATTGCCGCTGATCGCTGTTTCATAAAAGGACACCTTAAGTAGTAGAACAGGGATGACCTTCTTATGATGACAGATAAACACACCAAGAGTTAAGTCACAGATCTTACCTTGAGAATTAAGAGACAGTAGGTGATTTGTTGCTCCAGTATCAACCAAAGACTGAAATATCATTTTTGGGTGGACTGACCAGCTAAAATGGCACTACCACTCCTGCCCATTCTGCACCTCCTCAGTGTAAAGAAGATGAATATAAGCACACTGTGTCAAGTGAAATTTGCACTGCTATTGTCTGTAAGGTTTACTGTATTTATATGCAAATTGAAAAATTTGACACAAAATGAATATGTAATGTGTAAGAAATAAAGTAAATAATCATCTATTTGAGTTACTTGTTTTTATATCTGTAATCCTCATATGTAGTAATTTCCTGCACCTTGACATAAGCTGATATTATTGAAAAGCTTGCTTTAAAAATTTCATAAGGCCGAGGTATTGATTTTGGTCACAATAATGCTTTTAACACTGAACTCCAGGCAGATGTATAAGGCACAGATAAATGCAGTTTTTAAATCATAAATACATTATTACATTATTGATATGGCAGCTATGTAAGCTGAATTTGACCTGGAGCCTAACGTACAGTTTGTAAAGCAGAGCTTAGAAAGGGGAAGGGAGAAGCAGAACAAAGAGCCAGTTATGTGTGCTGCAGTGCAAGGAGCATGCTGACAGGAAGAGAGAGCAGAATGAAAGAGATGAACTCATCACTGTGCTGTGTCTATATTAGCTGGCCAGTCACATGGTGGAGAGAAGACCTTTAAGTGAAAGTGAAACTGCAGCAAAGAAAGCATCCGCTTACCTGCCAGACAGGGATTTGCTGTGCAGCAAAGTTATGTACTTCTCACCACTGGATGTATAGAAAAACAGATGCAGTGGCAGGTAAAATGTCTCTTATGTATGTATTTTAATCTGTGTTTGCAGCTGTTTGCCTGGTTTTCAGGTGCAAATTTCAACTCCAGTGGTCACAATTGCTGGAAAACTGTTCTGTATGACCAAATTAAAGGTCAGATTAATTTGTACAATAAGAGCACCCTCAGGCAGTCTTGTCACCTAAGGGGGTTGCACAGGAACCTTCGGTTCAGCTGAACATTTCTGTTCATGTACATAGATGGGGGAAGGAGATGATTGAATTGAAAGGTTCATATTAAAGCAGAGCTCAATCTCAGTCCCGTGAAGACTGAGTACCACGAAGACTAGCAGTTTGTTTTCTTATTCCAGGTCACAATCCTGTCCTTTTTGTCTCTTGGTCAGTTGACCATGTCGACCTCGCTTATACTTCTCAGACAACAATTTCCCGGAAACTGTATATGCCATTATAGCCTTTGATACTGTACCTTGCAACATGTCAAATAAATTGGCAACTTGAGTCACAGAGGCACTAGCTATGTGGGCACCAACAATTTGCCCTCTTTGAAGCTCAGTAAGCTCTGACTTCGTATTACTAGCAGCACATGCAGTGAATGAGGAAAGTGAGGCTTCCAACTTGTTAGGTGTCTCAACACACAACTGAAGCAAAAGAATGTTACTTCACTTTTGCTTTCAACATGAAACATGTCATCACTTTCACACCTGCAAATCATGTAGTATTTCCATTTTTTGTCTAACCCCTGTATGCCTATTGACCTTCCTTGCAATCACCTGCATGTGGCGTTTTAGTACACCTTCACAGATACTCGAAATGGTCTATCTTAGATAAGTACACACTTTTAAAGCTCTGGTTAGCAACAGTCCAATAGGAATATTTCCATCTATTTGGTTTGGCCCCCAAAATGTGCTGGATACTTTCTTTTTGTGATTTGAATTGTAGAAGCAAATGAATGATATGGACTTTTAAGACTGCCAACTGGCACTCTTCTTTGTTTATCTCACTTGAGTTTCCTAGTGGAGGCCCTTGCTTACTATCTGGAAGGCACCCACTTTGTGGTAGAGTTGCCTAGGTACAGTCATCAAGTTTCAGCCACTTTCTTGGATCCTGGTCCTTAATCCACCTTCTTGCATTCTGGTCCTTTATCCACCTACTTGGATCCTTGCCCTTCATCCACCTTCTTGGATGGCCCTGGCTGGCCTTCATCCACCTTCCTGGATCCTCGCCCTTTATCTACCTTCCTGCGTCCTGGTCCTTCATTCACCTTCCTGGATTCTTGTCCTGATTCCACCTTCATGGATCCTGGCCCTTCATCCACCTTTATGGACCTTGGTCATTCATCCACCTTCCTGGATCCTTGTCCTGATTCCACCTTCCTGGATCCTGGCCCTTCATCCACCATCCTGGCTCTTAACCCCTCATTCTCCTTCTTGGGTCTTGGTCCAGCGCCCCTTTTAAACTATGCATGTAATGATATGACTGCATGGTAGCGCAATAAAAAATAAATGCAAAAAATAAAGTGTATTCTAGTAGAATAAAAGTGTGAGGATACATATTTTGTAATCTTTTACTTTTATTGTACAAGTGTAAACTTATTTTTCTAGGCCAGATTTACATTTTCATGTAGAGATGCCATTCATTTTTCATTGCACCACAACACAGAAATGTGAATCTCAGCACATGGTGGAAAGGAAATCATTGTGTGATTTTGGGCACATTGGGGTACATTGGCCACGCATTCATTTTTTTTAGCATTTACTGGGCCCTGGTCTCACTAGAATTAAGGGCCACTGCTTTAAAGGAAATGTGTACTTACAAGAATATTTAGGCTACCTCCTTCTGAAAATGCTTGTTGCCTGGCCTGAAGCAAGTATAGAGAATCAGAACACTCGAAGGGGACATTTCTTATATATCTTATAAAATATAACTAGTATGTCTGTATTTTTATATAATATTTTAAACAATTTTCTTATAAGGGCAGCACAATGGTTTTGTGGTTAGCACTCCTACCTTACAGCACTAGGGTCCTAGATTCAGATCCCAACCAGCCACTACCTGCATGGAGTTTGCATGTTCTTCCTGAATTTGTGTGGGTTTCCTCTCAGTAATCCAGTTTCCTCCCCATACTCCAAAGACATGCTGGTAGTTTAACTGGTTTCTGTTT